TTGCGAGGAAACGTCTGGGAGTGGTGCTCGTACGAATGCAGGCGAGCCGCACGTTCGGCTCTGCAGCAACTGCAAGAAGCCCGGCCATAACGTACGAACTTGTCAAGTAGGTTGCGAGACGCCTGAGGAAAGCGATTCCGAGTAGTTTCAATTGATTTGAGGTGTTGTGGTTGAATTGACTTACAAGGTGACTGAAGTCTAAGAAAAAGTGCGCCACTCGTTATGCTGCGCCACTCGTTATGCAAGTACGTTACGCTATCATCGCGCACGGCTAATGCGCATCAGAAGCTGACAGCTGAGATAGTATCATGCGCCAACTTCGATCACATCGGGGAGAATCTCCCCCCAAGGAAAGATGCAGGTTATTGGCGCTGTTGGAGTATGTTGTTTAGATGCGGATGTGACTAGGCACCTAAGCGGCGCAGTCAGTTGTGTGTGGTCGCAGGTTAATCACCAAATTCTAGCTGGAGGTAACTTAAGTCTCGTCTGTTCCCGCTCGCCCACAATGACCTACAGTTATGCACCTCGAACCTCTGGAAGAAGTTAGGGTCGACGACCTCTTATCAACTTCGACGCAATCGAGGCATGTAGGCGGACTTGTAGGCAATTGTATTGCAATACGGCGGATAGGCTCCCGATAGTTTGTCTGCTGTGAAAATAGAGCTTGGGAAATATTGTGATGTATGTTTGGATGATGCTAGCGGACCGAGATCCAAAGCCTTGAGCGCGAAAAGAAGATGCCTTGCCCATAAGTACAGTCTATAGCTTAGAGGACCGCCGAAAACAGCTCTATGTCGTTGAAGCCGGCTCCGCGAAAACAAACTCCTCGAGCTCCTTGTACGCCTTCTCCAAGTCCTGCCAATGGTTAGCACGCAAAGCGAACCTTCCAACTCTCCCCCGGGGAAAGATTTACATCATTCACAATAATCCTGTCATGAACTCCGGGAACCTTGGAATACTCCAGCTCCACCTTGGCCTGCTTCAGCCGCTTCTGGATCGAGTCCTCCTTCTCTGTGCCGCGGCCGCGCAGCCGTTTCTCCAGCTCCTCATCGGACGGCGGTGCGATGAAGACGTACCGGGCGGGGAAGCCTGAAGCCTGGATTTGCTTGACGCCCTCCACCTCAATGTCCAAAACGACCGTCTTGCCCTTGGCCGTCTGCTCCTCGATGGTGGCCTTGGATGTCCCGTAGAGGTTGTCGCCGAATTGCGCGCTGCTGCGCATTAGCACGCGGCGAGGACGTTAGACGGAAGGAACGGGGTAGCCGAAGCCCTGAGTACCTCTCGACGAAACCATCCTTGGCCTTTAGGTCCAGAAACGCCTCCTTGGTCACGAAATGGTAGTCTACGCCATCTTGCTCACCGGGGCGGGGGCCGCGAGTGGTGTGCGAGACAGAGAGGGTGAAGGTGTCCGGGTGTCTCTGTCGAGCTCAGGTCAGGGATTGCGTTTGTATGCGAGGGGCAGCAGCTGGCGTACTTGGAACAGCAGCTTGTAGAGGGTGCCCTTGCCGACGCCCGAGGGGCCCGAGATAACGATGGGACGCGGATCGCGAACTTGGGCTGGGCAGGGTGGGGTTAGCTTTGCGAGGACAGGATAGAGGAGCAGAAACAGGTTGCCCGTCCTGGCAAGTTCAGGTCAATACTCACCGGGAGCCATGGTGTGGAAGCAGCGGGAGCGAAAGACTTTGGCCAAAGAAATGAGTGGACGTCGCATCTCTGGCGACGAAAAGATTCAAAGTCGGCGAGAAGTGACCGACAGTTTGCGACGAGACCAAGGCGTTATCCGTGGCCCGTGCATAACGGGGTTGGGCCCACTTCCCAAAAAGGGGTTGGTTGGCCGTGCAAATCTGCCCGCGGCCAGTGAGTCAACGAGGTCAAGAAGGGATTCAATCAGCCGAATTGCCCCCCAAACTCAGAAAGGACAGAAACCGCAGCAGTCCAATTCAGTGGCAACCAGAGACCGATCATGAACGGCTAAGAACGTTACACGCCGCCAAATACAGCCTTCTTAAAACCATCCACTTCCCTGAATCAACGCCAAATGGGCCCCTGTACTCCGTACTGCCTTAGTCATCTCTCCAACTCCGATGCCCGCATAATCTCCTCCGCTCCTCAATCCTTCTTTTGCGCCTGCGCCAGCGGCGGAGGCATCGCCTCATAACACTCCCACCCGTCGGCCAACTCCATGACGGCCGACCTGGTAAAGACATGTCTCTTCCCCAACCCCTTCCAGTCCAGCCCCTCATCAATCGCCCCGCCCTTGAACGCCACGACGGGCCTCATCGTCTTGCCGTCGGCCAGTAGCGCGGCGTGGAAGATACGCACGCCGCAGCGTGGGCAAAAGTAGCAGCGCATGGTGCCGCCGCTGTCGGTGGGGTGCTCGAACACGGCCAGCTTAGCCTCGAGGTCCGGCGCAAGCGGGAAGACGAGGTCGGTCGGGAAGTAGACGGACGAGCTAAAGGCTGAGCCTGATTGCTTGCGGCAGTTGGTGCAGTGGCAGTAGGACATCCCCATGGGTGCTGGGGGGGTGGTGAGCTTGATGTTGCCGCATTGACATGAGACCGGGAGGCCGGCGGCGTGGGAGTTGCCTGGTTCGGGTTTCTCGGCCATGGTGGATTATTGAAGAGGTGAGTTGGGGAATGTTCTGCTCGCCTTGACGTTCAAGTTGCGGCTGAGCAAGCGGAGGTGAGACGCCAGAGAACCCGCGTGGTTTATTAGTGTCCGCACTAGCCCGACTGACATGACTCACTAATACAAGCTCGTATAACGTTATGTCTTTTGGAAACGACCCTACTTTGGATCTGAAGCCAGGTCCATCTATGGGAACTCAATCCTCCACTGACCTCCAGCATTCCAGATACGGTAGCCTGCCCGACCTCTCACAGCCGCTTGCACCATAATTGCCGCAAGCACTCTCAGTCCTCCCGCCAACCACGGTACGTAGGTGCTCAGATATGTCTAACTCTCGTCCACACCCTGCAGTCGCCATGCCGCCACCCTCCGAAATCGATGTCAATGCCAAAATATACCTCCCGTGGCGCCTCATCCGGCCTGTCTTCACCCTTGCCATATGAGGTGGTTCATCAACCCCAGGGCAGACCGTCAGCGAGCTCGCCATCCCCACGCCCAACTTAACTATCTCCTTCATTCCATCAAGGTAGGCCGGAACATCGCGAGCGATGTTGATGCTCATATTGCGGTGGCATCCTGGCATTCACGAGTCCCTCTCATCATATGGCATATCAATGGCCCTCTCACACTCTGGTTCCTTCCGCGGCGATGACAGCTCCATACCGTGGGGGAAGGCGGTTTGGGGTCGGCGCACACTGGGTAGTATCCATTCTCGCACCGTCCCCATTGAAGCTCCGGATGGAACCTGGGATCGACGAGAATCTCCTGACCGGCGCATGCTCAATATGAAAGACGCGAACAAGACTATATGCGTTGTAGGGGTCGTTTGTATACTGGTTCATCAGTGGTTTCGCTCGTCAGCGTAGGGGCGCGGGCCACTGTTAGGACTAAGTAGAACCCACCAGTCGTTCTTGATGCTTACTGACATGAAATTCCTTGTCACATCCAGCAGAGGTAGACTTCACCTGAGTTGGTATGTGGTTTCTTCCGACCACCCGGGCGACATGGGCACCCCTTCATCCTGAAGCACCTGGGACATCTGCCCGAAGCAATCATGGTAGGTAATATCGGCATACTTCTACTGGGGCTCGGTGAATTCCTTATAACCTTTGTATTTTCCCAGGTGGCTCGTCCACTTCGCGTAGGACCAGTCTTAGATTTCACGTGCAAGTCAAATGTATACCTGCCACCAGCGGTTAGTCCGGGGCATTCTACCGCTGGTATAGTGCGTGATCGTGCGGTACGTATATGACGCTCTCCATGAAACCCGATCTTCTCGTCAGACTGCTGACGAAGGGAGCGGCGTAGGACGGTCGTTTGTCGGCCCTATCTCGCGCACACAGAGCAAGAAAAGGAGTAGCAAAGTCCAAGATGCAGGCGAGGATGGCTAACGCGGCACCGGCTTGGATCTGAACGGCTTACTTGGCTTCCTTAGCGACGAGTCGGGAGGGACAGATGTTGTTCAGGACGGTTTTCCAGGAAGTCAGAATGTCTTTAGTGAGTTTGCTCTTGATCACTGCCAAGATGGTCCTCTAGAGACTACCCCCTCCCCTCCCCAAGACGCCCAGGAGGGTTTGTGTCTGGGGAAACGTGCGTCGGCATCGTGTTTCTCCAGTTGACTCAAAATACATCGCATATGCCTGAGCACCGGATACCCAAGCGTTAGCAAGGGGTGCCCGTGCTGGAAATAAAACCAAGGCAAACCGCGCAACAAGGTCGCAGTCGCCCGGGACGAATTCAAGCGCACCTGACATGCCCCAGTACCAGTAGGTAGGCAATTCGCGGGACCGAGGAAGCACTAGTTCCCTGCTAGTGTCAATCAGCTAGTTAATCTTTGCAGTCCTTCCTTCAAGAGAGCCACGTCAACCCGCTAAAGACAGATGTATTGGTGGTCGGTGTTATGCCCCCGATCAGGAACACGGCATTCGCGGTTAGGCTCACTACTCACTGTTTATTAGGACTCGTCATTTTCTACGCAGTGTAGCCTGTTATACTCAGTAGGACCAAACAGGTCCCGATCAATTCACTAACGGCAAAAATCGTAACCTCACAGCCATAATATGTTTTGTCGAAGTCCCACGGTTGGCCAACTTAGTCCAGCGCCGTGGAACGCTTGCGTTCTGATCAACAACGTCCAGCAAACGTATTCGAGGAAGAACCGTGATGAAGCTCAGCTGTCGGCCATTAGTATTGGAACGGAAGGAGGAAATAGTTATGATGGTGTAGGACCGTCAAAGTTGACATTTGATGAGCTCAGGAGCTGGCAACGTCAACAACAAATTGCCCTCGCTGAGCTCTCACGAGCCTCAACCTCCTGAATGTTGCATTGTATCGCGCCACACAGTTTTGGCCTCGACGCCAACTCAATGGCTTCATCCTCAAGTGGCTCTCACTGGCAGGGCTTTGCGGGTGGTGTTGCGGGTGGCTTGACGGTCGCCTCATGATCTGCTACCAAAACCACATCCCGTAACCACCCATGCAAAGAACAAGCCACATCACGCACGTCAAGCACTAGCGGCGGGCGGGAAGCGCTGGTCCCCCTTGAACGGATAGATTTATCGGGTTTCCTCTGCAGGGTACGGACGCGCGGCAAACTGGTAATTCCCAAAGTGGAGGTGTTAATGGGATGGAGTACTCCGTAGCTTTATTAAGAACACAGTCAAATCTTGCTATAACAGTTCATGATATTAAAGGTGCATGTTTTCTGGGCATGCGAGACAGCGTGATGCAAAAGCGAAACCGTAGGACTCTGGTTCTTAGCGGTGTATAAGGCTCCCGACACGCACGAGCCGGGATCTACTCGCCCACACGAACAAGCCCTCCATCTCTGGCTCATGGACATCTACCATAAGCCGCTCTTTTTCTCGAGCCGCTTCGAGAAAGAAGCGGTTTAGGAGGGCAGGAGCGGCTGAGATCTGGCTTACAGGGCAAGAGCGGGTGGGAATGTGGGCGGCTCGAGGTGTGAGCCGTCAACTGACAGCCAGCCAACATGCTTGGATGCCCTTAAGTGGCTTGACAACCCCTGAGCAGTTCAAAGAAAACAAGCTGGGATATACTCGCCCAAACCTTGAGCGATTTTGAGGTTTTCAACGTCAGCTTCACCCGGTACGGTTGGAATCTAGCTGCACCTAAGATACACGCTGTGATAACCTGGTCTCTGATTATGATTTCTTTACCGCATTGAGGTAAGGTAACCTTAAGTGGGAATGATCCATTCTGCGTGGGCTAGGCTCTTGCTTCTTTTCAGGCTTTATCCGATGTGCAATGGAAGACCCTTGGTGAGATTGGGTTATAGGAATGGGAAGTTAAATACATAACGTTATCTATAACTAGTTAAAACCACTGGTTCCGATTTCCAACCGTAGGTCACTACTAGATGTCTTAGTTAGCGGCATATTAGGGGGAATAGTACCGTAGGTCCTCGAGTATCGCTGAATGGAAATGATATTCAACGTCAGGCACCAACCTCACTTGCCGCAACATTACACTCATGTAGCAGAATCGGCGGCCCTTCCAGCCCCCGTCTGCCAGCGCTGGTTGTATCCATTACCGAGGGCGACTACAGTTGAGGAACGCAAACAGACAAACAAATCTCGTCCGACGACTACAGGTTAAGTAAGACCGATGGTCTGGTTTACTCCAGACTCCCCGGAGTACCTTTCCACATTCGATTACGACACCGAAATCGTGATTTCCGCATGATGACGTGTCTTCCCGCTTGCTCCCCCCGGCTTCTCAGCAGACGTGGACACCTAGTACCTTGGGTACCATATACATTCAATCATCTCTTGACTTATTCCTATTCACTGATCATAGAAGTGGGCACTCTAACTCTTCAACGCTGCAGTTACCGAGTCGTCCTTTCTCTTTTGGAAACAGGCGACGATCCTGACCGCCAAATGCACCGGATAACAGATTTCCGACCTGAGCGACAACCTCTGTTCTTTCTGACGGGCTTGTGCTGAGGCGCTAATTCTTGAGCCACGACCCGTTATGGCGCAGCGATTCACGCCTCCAATGTGGATGGGCTACCCACAAGGCGGGCATTCCTGGACCACCTTCTCCGAATACCCTTCACCAACGGGGCTTCGTAGCCAACTATATCAATCACCGGATACACTCTGTCGATAGTGGAAGTTTAGTTGAGAAGAGAAACCTAGATCGAGAAAGTGTCGCCTTTTATCTCAGCTGGCACACATTTGGGCTTCTCGAGGCTGTATTTGGCAGAAACGTCGAGGAGTCCCAATTGCTGGATGCGCCCGTCCACGGCCAAGTCCAGATGAAACTGGACAGGGTCCAACCAATGCTGATCCGATGGGCCGTCGCCATGTCCAACCTGAGAAATGATGATGGTGAGGGTAGCGTTCGCGACCACCTCATCTATACAGCGGCAACCCAGCGGGCTGCGTACAACCAGTTCATGGGCCTCGTGGCGAGGAGATATTTCGGCTATCCCGGTTCTGAGCACCTCGAGATCTGTCGCCTGGTCAATTACGCGGCCTGCCTCGGAGAGGCGTTTTGGATCATCACAAAGGGACTGTTCAACCGCTTTCTCGGCCCGAACACGATCCCTCGCCACCTTCAATGGGCCAGCGCTCCGCCTCTACACGACGACTCAATGTTCCACGCCGTGGTCGCCGACGGCTGGTGCCCATCGACCATCAACTATATGCTATCCAGGGCCACGTTGGCCACCGTCCGGCTTGCACTCTTGCGTGGGCCCCTGTATGAGGAGCAACATCCGGATTGCACCGGCACGAAATGCGCACTGGCTCACGTTGACACTGAGCATTATGTGACCCGACACACTCTTGAAGGTTGCGTCTGCTCCTTTGTCGGCCCGGACATGAGCCGCATCGCCGAGCTGCTTCGACAGGAAATATTCCGGTCATCTCCGCCGCGTCAAGCGAGAGCCGCAGCGATCCGGTATCCCTCTCGGTCCTTGATGGATCCCGTACGGAATATGTTGCCTTCTCTCACGTGTGGGCCGATGGGCTCGGCAGCACAACGGAGGTTGGGCTCCCCCTCTGCCAACTAAGGAGACTGGCCAGCATGGCTTTGGACCTGGTGGGACCCGGCGCATTTTGGATAGATGCGCATTGTGTCCCGGCGGATGACAACCTCAAGAAGCATGCAATTCGGTTGATGGCTGATACCTATCGGACAACGAAGGCGGTCTTCGTGCTGGACAGCGGAATAATGGCAGCACCGTCGTGCGAACTTTCCTATCCCGCTGGATGCGACGGCTCTGGGCCTTTCAGGAGGCGGTGTTCGCACAAGACCTATACCTGAAGTTCTCCGACACGGCGCGCTCGCTGATGTGTCTCGTGCCTGAGTTCCGGGAGCAGCTCATGGATCCTGTCCTGGCCGGTCTTGGCCTCACCCTTGCTACCTTACGAGGAACCAGAGTCGTTCTCGCGGTGATGTGAACGGGCTGCTCTCTCTGGCTCTTTGGTTGGACACACTGGTGTGGAGGATGATGGGGCGGGTGAAAACCCTCCTGCATCAATCTGGGTTTGGGTGGTCTGCAAGGCTGGGCGATATGCGGGACACCCGCAACAATCGCTCATTCAATATCATCGACATTGTTCGAGAGCTAGGGTGGCGGGACACAAGCAAAGCGGGCGACGAGACTCTCGCCATTGCCAGTCTCCTTAACGTCAGCCCCTTCATGCTGTCCCATGCGGTTTCAGACGATCGAATTAGGCTCCTTTTACTGGCAATGGAAAGGGTTTCCAGGAGCCTTCCTTTCCTGCAGGTGGACAAACCTCAAACCCCTGGCTTCCGATGGCGCCGTCCACATTTCTTTCTCGACTCCGGGGCAGCCTACCGAATCATGGAAGACAAGGACGAGAATCCAAGGGGGTAAGGATCCCGATGGAGCGGTGAATACCAATTATGGGACCCTGCTCAGCTCGGTCCTGTTGAAATCATCGCTATGCACGGGCGTTTGAAGAACGTCACCAATTCGCGCTTTTCTTCTAACGACTTGGCATGCGGTTGTGAGGCCCTGGGCGTGGGGCCCGGCCTCGTCAACCCTCGGCCAGACCTTACTTTGTATTGTACAAGTACGGGTACAAGTTGGGTGGGGGCTCCTGTTGAAAACTTGGCCCCTTCAACGCTGGCGTGCTCAAGCAAGGCAAATGACTTAACGGAGTACGCACCTCAACGAGTGTTCATGGACATCAGTCAGGGGCATCACTCCTTTACGACCACCCAGCGCGGCTGTACCAGCCGACCTCTCCTCCCTGGGCCGGTGGCCACCCCACTCGAGCCACGATGCATTGTTCAAGCGACCAGTGGCAGAACGTGACACCCATAGACAGTTGATTTCCGGAAGGCATCACCACGAGATGTGGAATAACGTTCATGGCGTATACGGTACCCATTCACGGCAGCCTGATCCCGGCGCTATGGACTACGGAACTGGCTGGAGTGCCAGAGGCTGCTAAAGGGTCGGGGACCAGTGGTGAGCACGGGGATACACATACTGAGGTTAATGGTACTAGGGTGGAACCAGGCTGCTGGAGGCTGAGCCCTGGTTGTAATTTCTGTCTCCAGCTGTAATGAATGGCATCGTTTTCGGCAGGCTTATCAGGTTGTTCGACGTTGTGCCGGGGATGTTGGGTTGTATGGCACGGGCCGAGAGCCGTGTGGGACCGGGTGCGGGGCGGGGCCGAGACCGGTATGGGGGCATGCGGCCAGAACTGGTGTGACGCCGAGCTCGATGCGACCCTACCAAATCCTAGTGGCCTACGCTTCAATGTGTTCTCAGGGCTTCGTGCTTTGATATTTATCAGGGGTCTAATGATACTAGTCCCGGTTCCCAGCTCGGGTGCCTTGAACTGGAACTAGAAGCAACGAGGGATCTTGGACATCCATAATCAGAATACTACTTCACCTTACCATATCCAGTTTAAATCAGCTGTGTAAGCCCTGGTCTGCTGCAGGACGCTTTGTTGGGTTGTGGAAAAACCCCAGGCCGAGTCCACAAATCCTGCACTCGAGCAGCAGCACTCCTTCTCACCGCAATGCGCCTCCGCTCCTCCACAGTTCCCGTGGTTTCATCCCTTTTCCAGCACTCTGCGGTGGTTTCCTAACCACTCTTACCTTATATTCTCTGTGTGCTACCTCCTATCTCTACCTTTATCTTCTTAAAGGCTATCACTTGACGAAGATCTTCTAATTCAACCTCCGCAGTTGCCCTTTCTCATTGACTAACGACACAATGCTGGTGTCCATAGCCCTTGCTTGTGGCCTTGTTGTCGCCGTCTCCATCGTTACTACGCTCGTCTCGGGACTTGGATCTCCACTTGCCAAAGTACCTGGCCCTTGGTATTCTCGATTCACTCATCTCATCCTCAAATACGAGACGATCAGGGGCAGGAAAGTGTTTTACGTGCATAACCTTCATCTCAAGTATGGGCCCATTGTGCGAATCACTCCCACAGAGGTGGCTATCGCAGATGTAGGGTGTTTTGCTCAGATCCACAAAATCAGCTCCGGCTTCTACAAGTCGCCCTGGTACGACACGGTCACCCCCAACCGACAACCTGGGGTTTTCGCCATGCGAGATCCTCACCAGCATTCTGCTCGCCGGAGGCTATTCGCACAACCCTTCAGCAACTCGGCACTCCAAAAGAATTGGGCGGCTGAGATACGCTCACGAGTTGAAACCGCCGTCTCAAAGATCAGACAGGACGCGTCAAATGGGGATGCTGATGTGTTCCGATGGTGGACTCTGATGGCAACTGACTTGATTACACACCTGTGCTTTGGCGAATCTTTCAGGATGCTGGAGCAGGGAAAGGTGAGGAAAATCCTGCGAGCCAGACACAGCATCCAACTCCTGAACACGGCCGAACAAAAGCTGACCTTAAACTCGCAGCAATCACCGTACATCGACTCGATCCAATCATGGCTGCTCATGATGGTCTTGAGAGCCGAGTTGTACCCTGTCTATGTCCTTGCGCGACTGATGCCTTCTGAAAGAATTCAACGCGTCGTGAGAGCCGACGAGGTTGTTGCCAAGCACGGGAGCCGCGCCGTCGACAACATGCGCAACGCAAGCGGCAACGCGCAGAATCTCTTTGGACAAGCGCTCGCCATGGCGAACAATCAAGACAAGGCGACAATCACCGAGAGCGATGTTCGCGACGAGGCCACCAACCTGATCGTTGCGGGATCGGACACGACAGCCGTTACCCTGACATATCTTGTCTGGGCTGTGCTGAAGAGGCCAGAGTTACAAAGGGAGCTCGAAGAAGAAGTGGCGGGATTGAGTCCAGACTTGAGTTTTGATGAGTTGAGCCATGCACTTCTCCTCAACAGCGTCATCGAGGAGACGCTTCGACTCTATGGCGCGGCTCCTGGCGCCCTCCCCCGTTCTGTGCCACCCGGCGGTGTCGACATGTTGGGCCACTTTCTCCCTGGTGGCACCGTCGCTAGCACGCAAGCTTACACCATCCATCGGGACCCGAACATATTCCCCAACCCCTTAGAGTAAGTCTTCTCACGCCGTTTTATTCCCGTTAGCCTGCTTATTTTCCTCCTGTTCGTTTAGGTTTGATGGGTATCGGTTTATCAAGCCTGACTTGATGACTCCAGTTCAGAAAACGGCCTTCCACCCGTTTGGGGCGGGAAGCAGGGTCTGCCTCGGGATCCATCTGGCCTACTTAGAGATGCGGCTCGCAGTCGCACTGTTCTTCCGGGAATGCCGCGGGATAAGGATCAGCGATGTGATGACAGATGAAATGATGAAGGAGGATGATCGGTTCATCATTGCACCAAGGGGTCATTGCCTAAAGGTGACATTTGGGTGAGCTGAAGAACACCTGGCGCTTGAAGGGTGGGAATCACTGCAGTGCTGTGTCCCCGGTGTTTTCTGGTTGACGATTGGCAGACACATGGGGCTGGGCGCTGTATTGGTTACAGTAACCAAGCGTGTATGCCGTCAAATCCATGGAACACATGGGAAATTCATAACGGTGTATTCAATGTTCTATCAACCCAGTATCCATCGATGGAAGTCTCTCTTAGACAACCCCATATTCCAACCAACTTCATGATCCCGCGAATTTCCAGAACTCAACACGTCAAGATATCTTTGTTTACCCCCCATCAACGTGTGCCATAAGGTTTCTCCCTCAGCCAACTCATCAACTTCCATATCAAACCGCCCTCCCCATCCCCAACGTCACGCTTGACCTCCTCCGCTTCCCAGCGCTAGGCTTCCTCGCCAGCCAGTCGGCATCCCGATGAGCCTGCCTCACAAGGTAGTAATCGGCAACATCACTGTCATCCAGCGCTTCCCCAGAATGCCGCGTCTCAATAATCTCAACCGATGTCTGCTTGACAATGACGCCAGCCCTGGGGAACGGAGCACCAGCAGCAACCGCCGCGCGGCCCGACTCAAGGTCACGGTCGGTATCGTACGAACTCGGCGAGCCACCCCGAGCCTCATCATTATGGCCGCCACGGCGCGAGTCACAGATGCGCTCGTCGCTGCCGTTGACCGAAAAGTTGGGGATGGGATTGACACTCCGCGGGCCCCGTCCGCGGCGCGGGTTCTTGTCCTCAAGCAAGTGGAAGGCGCTCGGCTTGTTGCCGCCGTCTCGGCTGCGAGACTGGCTTGATGGCTTGCTGGAGGAGGACGCCGCCGACAGCGACCGGACCAGAGTACCAATAAGCGGGCGGAACAAGCGGGTGATGAGGGGCGTGATCATGGGCAGGTTGGATGTCACGACGGCGACGAAGGATTCTCGGACAGCCCAGGAGCCGGCTTTTTGGGCACCGTTGACGGGGTCCTTTTTTGATGCCAAGGTCGGCCTGGGTTAGTGGCGGGTTTTCTTCTCTGAGGATTGGGGGTTGAGCTTCCGCTTACAGTGACGATGAGAACGCAGCGCAAGATACCGGCGACCGTCACAAACAGGCCGCCGGAAAAGAGCAGAATGAGGCCAGCTTTTTTGAGCGGCCGTAGCGAGGACTGCCAGAGCATGGGTATCGGGATGCTCATTAGGTAGATATCAGTTAGGACGTTCAAGACAACGGTAACAAAGATGTCAATCTTAGATATGGCAGGCTGGCACGAATCTTTAAGATGTTGTCAGTCACATACCCTAGTAGGTATTGAAGGGCACTTACTGCCAGGATCCGGGTATATCTGCCAGTTCTTTTCTAGGGGGCGGCAGCCAAGCAGAATGGAAAGGAGAACGGCGATCCAAGTGCTCCCAATGAGAGCGAATCCGATGTAAATGCGTTTATGAAAGCCGAGGCCGTCCTGCAGTCGGAAGTCAGCAGTGTCTTACTTGCTTCAGCGCTTCTCGTTGATGGATCGTACCGTGAGGCGGAGGTAGAAAGCGCACATAGCCGCCTTGATGGTCCACAATAACGAGGTGTAGATCGACCACCCGGCAACTTGCGTCTTGGAACCGTTGACTCTTGGTTGTCTGTCAGTAGAGATCGGAATCTAGCCCATTGCCACGTCCCTTACCGTAAATGGTACTCTTCGCTACTAGCGTCCAGAAGCCGTCGTTGCTCGTCTGTCATGCCATTGTTGGCGAGCCCCTTCCAAAATGCCCCAACGGAGTAGGCGAGGTAAGTTTCGACGGCGTAGGCTACCTGTGGCAAGGAGTTCAGCGAAGACCCGACTCGTTTTGGCCTGGCAGATCTTACAGCGGCCACAACCATAAGATAATCGTCGACGTGGAGACGCTTGAACCCTTCGGAAGATATCCTGACATACAGTCGGAGACCAATGACGAACAAGCCAACCCCCAGCAATGAGAATGCCTCGTGCACAAATTCGTTCATGGTAATGATAACGAGGGTCAAAGAGAACAAGATGGTTGGGTCCGTGAATGTGGCGTGGGGATAATGACAGTAATGAGGGACAGGGTAAACGAGCGAGGTATATAACAAGTTTCAATGAACAGGTTTACATTAGAACAGGATTGGATACCAGGTATCTTCAGACGATGGTCAGGTGAGAACGAGTGGTGGCCCTCGCCCATCTGCCCCAACCATGGAGTGGATTGCGTTATATTCAACTAGAAGGTTGACCTCGACGAAAACCGGCGAGATATCGCGTGCTGTGGGTGGAATGCCAATCGAGCCTCAGGGGTTGTCGTCGCGGTAAGCGTGCATCAGAGCCCGCTGTTGTGGACGGTTGAAATCCCCCGCGCTCGTGTGACAAAGGAGGATATCTCGTTTGGTCGATAGGTTCCAGAGCACAAGAGAGCACATGGGCCGCGGCATAAGACCCGCGGGTCTCTACCTCGTGGTCGGCATCTTTTCCTCGCACTGCATATTCATTGGCGGGAACAAGCATCAAGCTAATCTTGGGGCCACAAGATATTCGAAGAGAGGGCGCGACAGGGGGCATCTTCGGAGCTGAAGCCGGGAAGATGCAGGTTGCTTCGAGTTTGCGAAACTTGGCCTGCAGCTGCATGCAAAACCGCGTATTCCGCCGAGATGCGCGGATGAAGGTGACCCAATCTCTACCTGGAGTCACTGTGGATTTGAAGAAGGAACAATGGGCTGCGTCAACCATGAACCATGCAGCCCGAAGCCCCAGCTCAGCCTTCAAGGCCATGTTTTCGGAAGGGGCTTTTCTACACATTCGAGCTAGTTTAAATTGGGTCGCGCACTAATCGAACCTCCGAACAAAGAAACCAAACGACTTGGGCCGCGCAACTCGTGTTTCCAAATTCCACCACCTTTCTCGCCACCGAGACAGCCATGCTCGATCAATATCTGCACATTTCGACAACAGGTCAGTACTTGCTCCTGGTTCTGACTTTCGTGGAGACAAAATGATAAAGTACCTGAGTATTCAAGAGCTAATTGATATCCTTGATGACTTGCTTGGCCTTGAAACATAGCAGGCTTTCTTAATATCCCACAAGAACGAAACGGAAGCACGAGGTTGATCTGCCATGATTCGTTACGTAGGACAAAGGGTGGAGCACAGCCTCTCACAGCCAATGTAACTGAAGGTTATTCCGGCCTCTGCCTTCTTAAGAGTACGGTCGATGAGTTACCCGACCTGGAACCGACACCGGCGCCCCAGGTCGATCACAGCACCCAGCAATCATGGACCCCCGGACTCATCGTGCACCTCATTCCAGCTAGCCGAGAGGAAGAAAACTTGGCTGCATGATTTCCTACCGATACCATCTTGAGATCAGTCGTCGATGCCGAGGCCGGAATGGAACCTGGCCGCCCTTCCCAAGCCCCTTCGCTTCAAGTAGCCCCGTGAGCGCAACTGTGCCAACACACCCCTTGGGATCGGACACTCACTGAAGAATGTCAAAAAAAAAAAAAAAAAAGGGCAATCGCTGGCTGAAGTTCCATGCGGACTGACAGGGCAACCCATCAGTTTACAGAGTATCTACTTCCCCATGCCTCTTCCAAGTTGACTGCGGGTATGGCACGCTCCAGGCCAACGTGGGAAGTGGTGTGGCGGACGTGTCGCGCTCGGACTCATGCGGGGATCCCAAGGCACGGGCATGGAGCATGCATCTCTAAGAAAAACAATCATCTCCGCCCTTGTTCACATCGGACTCAAGCAGGCGGAATGGCGTCACGTCGGATTAGGACTACATCAACGTGGCGGTTTCGGAGGTCGATTCCGCCCGTCATTGGCACAGATCTACAGCAATCTTTACCGCCATGTGGCTCAAAAACGTGGCATCTGGGTGTGTTGCCTGCAGGTTGGCATTGAGGGTTGGCCAGCCCTTCTGCCAGCGGTCACCGCAAGGCAAATCCACAGTAGTGAGTCTTGAAGGCGTCCGCCAGCTTGTTGACCCGGGATGACAGGGGGGAGAAGAAAAGACGCAGCAGCTCACTTCCCCAATCGGAACTGTCGGCGTTCCGGGTGCGGAATGCCACGCTGCACATTCATGATGCGACAGCTTTAGATCCCTTAGGTGTCCTCCTCATCTTACGCCTTTCCTGATGTAGATTCAGCATGGCCTCTTTCTACTTTTCCAGCAACTCCCCCATATATCTCTCGGCCGAGCGGGACTGGGACTGCGCCGTCAAGGCTGCGTCAAAACTCCCCATCTGACCCCAGGAGTCCGATTCAACATTCATCATGGAGACTCTCGACCTCGTCGTCATCGGAGCAGGTAAGTGCTCATTCCTCCAGATCCAACAAAGAAGTGGTCGACACCTAACCGGCGCCAGGAATCTTTGGCCTTGCGACGGCAAAGATGTTCCAGCAGCTGAATCCCAACAAGACTTTGACCATACTGGACTCCGGCTCATCCATCGGTGGTGTCTGGGGGAAGAGCCGGCTCTACCCAACCCTCAAGACCAACAACATGCTGGGAATGTTCGAATACCCGGACTTCCCTATGACCACTGATGCCTTTGCTGTCCAGCCTGGCGAACACATTTCAGGGGAGGTCATGTACAGATACCTCACCAGATATGCCGAGCATTTCGGCATTCTCGACAAGATCCGCTACCGCACTGCAGTTCTCACCGCGGAGCATCATGACAGCTCAGAAGGAGGTTGGACCCTGACGGTTCAAAATGACGGAACTCAGCACCGAATATTTGCGCGCAAGCTTGTTGTGGCCGCCGGCTTCACATCGGAGCCATTCTTACCCGGCATCCAGGGCGAAGAGATGTTTGGTGCACCCATCTTCCACAGCAGGGATCTTGTGAAGCACGCAGATACCCATGGCACAGCCAAGACGGTAACAGTGTTTGGCGGGACAAAATCGGCCTGGGATGCCGTATACGCTTATGCCTCCAAAGGCGTCAAGGTCCACTGGATAATTCGTGGTAAGCTACGGCCTGATACCCGCTGCTGGACTTTTATCTAAACTTACACGTTCTATCCCCAGAAAGCGGCCACGGTCCAGTATGGATGGCGCCTCCCTATGTCACTCCCTTGAAGAAATGGTTGGAGAAGCTTGTCCGTGAGTACTGCTATTATCGATGCCGAAACCGCCTATATCGTTAACGTATGTCGTACAGACACACGCATGCTAGCCTGGTTGAGCCCTTGCATTTGGGGCGGGGTTGACGGGTACTCCGGAGTACGCTCCTTCTACCACAGAACCGCCATCGGCCGCGCTGTCACCGACGCCTTCTGGTCGCTTTTGGGCCACGATATCCTCAGTTTGAACAAGTACGACTCACACCCGGAAACCAAGAAGCTCAAGCCGTGGAGCCACCCCATGTTCACCGCATCATCTTTCTCCATCCTGAATTACCCCACCAGCATTTTCGACCTGGTGCTCGACGGCACCGTCAGAGTGCACATCGCCGACGTCACGGGCCTCTCCACGATGACAGTGCACTTATCCGATGGTACACAACTTGAAACAGACCTACTCTGTTGTGCGACCGGGTGGAAACACGTTCCACCGGTGAGATTCCTCCCCGAAGGCATCGAGAAGGAGCTAGGATTGCCTCACACTCCCTCCGAGAGCGACCTCTTTACCCCTGAAGAAGTGGCCAGGGCTGACGAGGAGATCCTCTCCCGGTTTCCGCGCCTCAGAGACCAGCCCGTCCAGAACAAGAAGCTGAAGCCCATCCTCGACACCAACGCACTCACCACCACCGACACCATCAACCACTCCACCCCGCTCACGCCCTGGACTCTCTACCGCTTCATGGTCCCGCCGTCCGCGCGCTGCCTCCAGACGCGCGACATCGCATTTGCCGGCGCCCTCCTCAATTTCTCCACCTTCATGGTCGCCCACGCCCAAGCGCTCTGGATAACGGCCTACTTCAACGACCAGCTGCCTGCCTCCGTGGTGCCGCCCATCAGACCGCCCCACTCGTTACATTCACAAACAGCCACCGTCCCAACAACCGAAAGGGGAAGGAAAGCCGAGATCAAGACCGAGAAGATCAAGTCCCTGGCCGAGCTCCGCCGCGAAACGCTCCTGCACGCCCGTTTCGGCAGATGGCGGTACCCGGCCGGCCACGGCGCACAGTTTCCCGACTTTGTGTTTGACGGCCTGCCGTATCTGGACCTGTTGGTGCGGGACCTGGGGTTGAGGGTGCGTCGCAAGGGTGGGTGGCTGGCTGAGATGGCGGAGCCGTATGGCCCGGAGGATTATCGGAATTTGGTGGATGAGTTTGTTGCGCGTGTGGAGGGGGGGAGGAGATTGCCTTAGGGTAGGGATGGAGGGCTTGTTTAGCATCTCGCATTTGGGATTTGTTAGGTGACGTTGGTTTCAGGGCTTTGGATGGTAATGGGCCGGATTGTGTTGTGTGTTTGATGGCTGATGATACCATGAACGTTTTGTAGTGTTGATTGAGTTTGGGGACATGACTGGGTATGGGTCTTGCGTTTGCTTGCATTTTGGCTCTTGGAAGAACGAATAAAGGCGAAAACGACGGATGAAGACATGTCACAGCCAGCTGCATGTGCCTGTACTGTCCATGAGTAGTTGAGTACTCACATTGCCGGGATAGGAGACGATTGTAATTGTCTTAAAGGAGGAAAGTGTTCCACAACGATGCAATCAAAGAGGAAACTAATCCCGACGACAGCAGGAAAGATGGTTCAGGAAAAGAGCGGAATACTGTTGCAACGGTTGCATGGCTGCACATCGTGTTGCTCGGCGATCAGTGTGGGAATGGACTTGGACGACATCAGCAAGAGGTGAGTTTTGTAAGAGATAACACTTTAAATAAAAGAAACGTATACTGGACCGACGACGATGCCACAGACGTGACTGTCCGTTAAAGTGGTTGTGATTGCTCCTATCAAAATGTCAGGATAATCAATCATAGAACATTGCTGGTTTACACTGACCCTGATAAAGATGCGGTTGTTCTCAATAACTGGAGCGCCCCAACATGTCGGCCAAACAGTATGCTGTGTAAGTCCATTAGCTTGCTCAGGTTCCACATGTGCCCGGCTAAAGATTGGAAGTTGAGGCAAGATGGAAGGGGGAAGGCCAAACAGGAAGAAAGAAGAAAAAAGGGGAGAGATTGAGGATATTGACATGTTTAGCTACCCCCAGAACCTACGACAATGCCACAGAAGTACGCGACAGCTGTAATGGGCCGCCCTAACGCGTCCCTACGAAGGCCAACAAATTGCTATGGACCATTGCCCGCCAAGGGAATTAAACCCTTAATGTTAGGAGTGGTATTGTTCCAAGAATGGAGTGCACCAATATCCTACTTGACCAGCATGCGCTAGGTTGCTACCAGTCCTCTCCGGTTTGCCTGCTTTAAAAGCTTGGGGACTGCCTCGCTTTGATGCACGAATGAGTTGACAAACCGTTTTGAGATGGGATAGAGGGAGTGGACACAAATATGAAAGAAAGGAAAAGAAAGGACAGAGAAGAGGCTTGACATGTTTGGTGATTTGGTCACCCCCAGAACCGTCAGCAATGCCACAGACGTGCCTGTCCTTTATAGTGGACGTTCCAACTACTATTAAGTGACCCTACCAATGCTCAGAAATATCGCCATGGGCCATTGCCCACTAAGGGCAATGGAACCCTTAATGTCTAGAGCGGTGGCGGCCGGAACCTGGGTTGCGCCATATACCACTGGACCAAACATGCCAATGGTTTGTTGTTATATATACCTTCAGGCAATGTCCTATATGAATCTGGTTTGCTACAGCTGGCAAGGGCGCCGCATCCAACACCTCGTTCCTTTGTTGTTCAACCCGAGCTTCTCCAAAGTCAACTTGCATACACAATGCTCCTCATTGCAAGTGCAAGCCCGAAGCAAACTTGAACACAGTCACCACCTAAATGCCATTACCCAAATAGGTTTACCAGGGCTATTGCATTGTTTGCTCGTTTCCTGGAAATCCAACATGCTCTTCAAAAACATCTATTTCTCTTCCAGGTTTTTTGACCTTCTTTTCATGTCACGCTCCTCCGTAGATAGAAAAGCCCGCTGAGCCACAATCTCTTTCATTGGCTTGCCAATGTTATTGACAAAGGTTTGAAGATTAGTGCAAGACGAGAGCCTCGCTCTGGATAGAGAACAAGGCGGCGTAGAAAGCGGTCGATCCATCCAGCACCCAGGGGCTGATGATCACCTCCTTCAGCCAAGATGGCCTGCGCGAAAGCCACCACCTGGCTACGGCTAGGAGCCCTTCCAAACTTTTCTTCATTGAGGCACTAGTCGACTACATGCCTCTCTTGCACAGGACTGAGCCGTTGTTCGTGGATTTTGGCTTGTTGTCGAGGGTGGGCGCCATGAAGCCGTCGGTTCAGGGTAGACTATGGGAAGCTGTACTTTTCCGCTGCATCTTTATGGGAACAAAGGCCTTCTTGAACCTCGACTATAGCCAATTGAATAAGCTCTTCCCGGATAGCGGTCATGTTGATTTTGGCACAGAACTGGATGAGTTGTGTTGAGTTGAAGTTAGTCATGTCTGGAATGGTGGTGTGGTGCCAGGATTCCATTGTGGGGCCGATTCCGTTGCGGGGTCCAGACGTCTATTTGGTTGATGGGATCTCTGGCCTATCGCTGGTGGAGAAATCAAGCGTCGATGATGAAAGAAGTTAAGCAATGGATTGGAACCAAACTCTGTCGGTCGGATGCAGTCAATACCGGGAGAGTGCTGAACATCCCAATATTTCTTGACCTCGTGGGCCTGGTACTGCTAAGCGAGAAGGACGAAGGCCTCCCGCCGACGGTCATTGACACTTACGGCAGCGCTCAATTCAGCTTTCCTTGGAACACTTAGAGGGCGGCAATTAGTAGTTGACAAGAGTAAGCCCTCTTCAATGACTGCGAAAGGCACTTGGACAGTTGGGCTTTTGAGTGCCTCTTCTCTTCATACCTCGTTCAAGGACAGCCACGCGACTGCCAGGTTAACGTGCTCTCATCACTCATTACCGGAAGCCGGTGGCAGGTTTACAGAATTGGTCACTGAGTGAACAATAGGGAAATCTTGGCCTATTGTCGGGAAGGCACCTAAATTTGCTGCACAATTCGCATCATCGGCCCGTCCCAAAATTTACAGAAACTCAAGCACCTGTCAGTCCGTCTCGCTTCCAGAATACACTTTCATCACTCAAAAGCATCACCGCTGAGCAAGCGGCGTCAATGGAGTTGGTGGGTATTCAGGGGCTTGTTCACTAGCACTGTGACCTGCATGGAGGAGAATCGACAACTGAATATTTTTATCTGAAGTGAAATGGAGAACGAGCTTGTCTCGAGCTCCCGCTTTCAAAGATTCCCTACTTATTCTCCCTCCCGCTCGATCGCTTTTCCTCCTTCTCTTCTTCCCACGGCGCAAACTCCAAAGTCATCTGCCATTGCCAGGGTCGTCTCCGCCTCGTGGCGCTCGCAACCGCCGCTTGCCTTATTCGCCTTTCGGCTTTTTTTTTCTCGTTTTTTTGTTGCGAACAAAGAAAAGAAATACAAAGCACCATCCGAAGCTTTGGCGCCGTCTATCCTTTTTCCTTCATAAAATAGACAACATTGTCAAGATGCCCGCCCGGGCCCCTACCGAAGTTCTGAAGTCCTGCCTGCTGAGCAACGGCATAAAGAGGTAAGCGTAGCCAGTTTCTCGTTTTCCATTCAAATTCCCGCATTGTTGCTTCGTCTTGGCTCGGGCTCAGACAACGGCTGTAATAATTCGAAGCCGACATCGCACGTCATCTGGGCAGCAGAAACACAAAACTCAGGGATGTGGATCGCTAACATCATCGGTCACGCAAAGCGCACCACGGCACGGGCGTCACCCGCCGCAACCGAATCGACGCCCGCTGATGGCCGGACTCCAATCGCTCAGCGTCTCGATCCGTAAGCGAGACGCCCAGACCGAGCTGACCAATCTGGTCGACGAGGCCACCACCCTCGCCAAGCGCGTGGACCGCGTTCCGGGTCGAGATGTCGACCGATCGGAGTTCGTGCGCGAACTCAGCCATCACCACCGACTCGGACAAGTTCTGCCGCTCGCTCATTTTGAGCAACTTTTTACTGCGGTCGTGCTGGCTCGTTATCGGTACAGGTCGGATAGGTGGGACGAGGCCTTGTCGCCGTTTTCCTTAATTCCTTCAAGAAACTCCCCAATACACTGGAAACTTCCCTCATGTCCACCAAAATTACACCTCACAAGCACATTTATTTTTTGATTCCAAAACCTTCTCTTTCTGGTCGGTATCATTACCAACGGGCGCAAGCGGAATCCAAGCCTCGGGAATACGCCCCCTACGCTGTAAAACTGCCCACTACACTACCACCACCTCTTCTTCCACGGCCTTCAGACAAAAAGTTGCTGACCAGTAGCCACCTCCCAAAACTGGACGAAGACCCGGCCACCCGCGGCCACCTCGCAGGCGCCGTCGATGCCTTCGAGAAGGCCGCGTGGTTCTGGGAGACCGTCGAGGCGTTCTTCGAGGACGACCACCCCCGCGCCGACGAGGCCGAGCGTGGTGCGTCCTCATCGGAAGCCGAGGATGGGGCTGACCAGGGCTTTGTTGCCGGCTCGTCGTCTGTCGGCGAATCTGCTGATGCCGGTGCTGCCGCGTCTACCTCCGTCGCCGCGGCCAACCACTCGGCGGTCGCCACCCTAGCGGCCGGTGTTGGAGCGATGGATCTCGACGACGACGTCGAGGTAGTTGACTCGGAGATGGAGGTGGACGATTAGGTTGGAGAGGAATGGGGAGAAGCTTTGGGGAAGGTTGTTGTGGCGGTTCTTCTTGTGGGGGAATGGCGCTTGCCCTTCGGCGACTGGTTTTGTTTGGTTTTCGCTGAGTTTCGGCGTCCGGTACCGGTCGCTTGGGGTTACCGGGGGTATCACGTCCTTGTTTTCCCATTTTATCTTTTTTCTGGCCGAGCTCAGGATCTTTTTGAAGGAGGTGGGGGATAATGGGGTTTGAGGACGGGGGTGGATTTGCCCTGATTGTTTGTGTTTCCTGGGAACTCACACCAGGTGCCGTGGGTCGCCGATTCTAACTTACATTGACTGCAGGACGTGTCCAGTGCTCGAAGGCTAAATGCCCCTTCCAATCCTCATGATCTGTCAATTCATCGTCATGGCCTCTGCTTGTTCCGGCAGCTTCAGCGGGCCGGTCTGGGCCGTCTCAGCGCAAAGTGGGACAAAGTGGGCCACGGATCGGGCATTGAAGTTGCTCGCACCGGTGGCTCTGCCGGCTACCGGCCTACCCCACTCCACGTCATCGGACCAAAAACCATCCCATTTTCGTTTCCCTTCCCCAACCCTGATTACGACTTGAAGTGCATTCAACATCCACTCTTTTCTTCCCACTTAAAGGCCGCTGCCCGCCTCCCACATATTAGCCGACTGCAGACCGTCATTCGCGACTCGCGTATCGTATTTACCTCATGGCTTCCCCCCGCGACACATGGTCTCTTACCGACCACCTGCTCGCGACCCAAGAACCACTCTACAAGTCGGCGACGCAGCACCCATTCCTCCTGGCAGGCGCCGAGGGGCGCCTGCCCAAAGACATTCTCAGCCGCTGGCTGGCCAACGACAGGTTGTACATCCACTCGTACATCCGCGCTGCAGGCCAACTGCTCGCTTCCATCGACCTACCCAAGCAGGTACCCAGGTCGCAAGAGGCATTCGAGACACAGCTAGCCGACTGGCTCATCGAAGCACTCGTGGCTATCCGCAAGGAAGAGCGCTTCTTCATCGACGTGGCTGATCGCTACGACCTGGGCATCGACATCACCACCCCGTTTCCGCCTGCCTCGCAAACATCTGCCAACACCCTAGAAAAGCTCCCTGGCCTGGTCCAGATGGAAACAATCTTCGCATCCGTAGCCGCTCTGACCAAGTCCGAACCCTCACCAGACTCTCAAAGCACGCTGACCAGTTTATTCAATCGGTTAACTACCACCAGGTCTCAAACCACGCAGCTCATCCCGTGGCTCGAAGGCGCCCTTACCTTCTGGGGCACCGAGCGTTGCTACCTGGATGCGTGGTCTTGGGCGCGCGACAAGGCGGAGGAGCGGCGGGCTTCTGGAGGTCAGGTCGACAAGGAGGACGCCGACGGGGGTGCGTTGCGCAAAGAGTTCATACCCAATTGGAGCAGTCCCGAGTTTGCGCAGTTTGTGGTGAGGTTGGGCAAATTGATCGATGATGCCGTCGCTAGTGTGCTTGAGGGGAGGGAGGCTGAGGAGAGGGAGAAGCTAAAGGGCGAGATTCTTGCGCGGGTGGAAGGGAAGTGGAAGTCGCTGCTGGAGGCTGAGCGACAGTTTTGGCCTGAGCTTTGATTCTCCGATACAACTGTTTCGGGAGGGGGGTATGGTACTTTTTCATGGCAGGAAGGAGCCGGTTTGCGAAGGTGCACGAGAATACACTATGTCGGCTCAGAGTTGCTGACGGCTATGCTCAACTCATGACAGCAGACTTACTTACGCGGAGCTCAGAAATCTTCAATGGGCATTTATCCCAACTAAGCGGACTTACCATCATTAGCAACACTGTTTCCACCAGTTTTGCCCTGTTCCAGCGCATCTTGAAGACGGTGGTTAGGTACTGTAGCTTGGTCGGTCCGCGATCGCTGCAGCTCGGAGGCCAGGCTCCGTCCACCTTCGGCAGGAGAGCCGCACTGCTACCATGGCCGCGGTTTAAGCGGGCAATCAATATACCCAATGCGACGCTGCAAGCCTCCGTGATCCACAACGAGTTTAAGTTTCCGGGAACCGGGTTCCAGCACATCCGCCCAACTCTGAATTACGCGTGTGTCTCGGAAACCCCCTGTCGGCATATTCTGGCGTGTTTCCCTCTCCAGTTCAGACTCGTCTCCCAGACCGGCCCGGTTAAACGGAGGATGGATGACAGAGTGAAGTATAAAACAGCCACGTCGGCCGTCTGCCGGCTAATCTTCGTCTCTCTTCGATGAGGAGAATTACTTCCATCCCTAAACAGCTCCTTCGCCCACGTCAACATGCGGCCAGTGGCTTCCCTGCCTCTCTTTGTTGCCGCAGCAGTAGCACAGGCGACTGCAGGGCCATACGGTCAATGCGGAGGCATAGGCTACTCGGGGCCTAGTGCCTGCGGCTCGGGATACGGCTGCACGACTTACAAGTGCGTCGCCACTCAACACTCCCTGGAGAGACCCAACAGTTAACGTAGCCAGCCCATACTACGCCCAATGCTACCCCGGGGTCGTCGACACGCCCACTTCAACCCCGTCCTCTACCTCAACCTCCTCGCCGCGCACCACATCCACCACCCGCACATCCACCAGCACCACCACCACCATCCGGGATTCACCCACCACCACAACCAGAACAACCCCCACCAGCGGCAGCGCAGCAACCCCCACAACGCTCGAACCAGGCTGGTATTGGATCCGCGGCGTCGCCTCCCCTTACTTCCACAGTTACCTGCAAGCCGTCGTGCCCACCGCCGCCACCACCTCCTCCCCCTCACCGTCAACAAATGCAATGCTTTCCAAACCCGCCAACGCCGGCCAATTCAACATCGTCTCAGGCCAGCTGGTATGGCACCGCTTCAGCGGGCAGCCGCCACTCTACATGCACGTCGAGAACCCAGCCGACAAGACGCAGCGCAAGCTTCGGACGTGGTTCGAGGCGTCGCAGAACACGTACGGCTCGTTTGCCTTTCAGGGGGATACGCTTACGTGGAGCGTGAGTGACATCAACAGGCCGAATAACGCGGCGTGGTTGGTGTGTGCCGGGGATGAGCTGTTTGTGAATACCGGGGCGTTTCTGTATCAGACGCCTGCGGGGTGCTTTGATCATACGGTGAGTCTGCGGTCTTGGTGTTCTGGAAGTTTTGGTTGAGAGTTGGTACTCGGAGGTGCTGACCGGCCTATGCTAGATTCATTCTTATGGGGGCTCGACGGCGGATGTCTGATACACTTAGCAGTCGCGGGAAGAGGGGTATGTCCCGGGCTACCTTTAGTGGTTCTTCACCAAGCAGGACTTGAAAGGAAACTCATACTCCCATAGTTGCGTAAAGTGGGGGTGTGGTAAATATACAGCTAACGTTATCCTCTCTGTCGTCTACGACCGCCTTGGACAGATCATAATATTAAAGAAGAGAAGCCTTTTACCACAGTAAGATAGGCAAATAATTAGCGTCACGGCGGGCGACATTTACCCGCCGAGCATTGGTATCTAGCTGGGCACTGTCACGGGACTATCCCGTGACACATCATGAACAGTGACACTAGTTGCTCCTGGCGCCTCCACTCGCCCCGTCCCCCTCCCTTCCCGCCACCTGCGCTCTATGAACGGTCTCGTCACTCGACAGCGCATAAGGGTCGACGAAAACGCGCGACGCCTGGCCATGGTGCTTCCGATCGCCCATCTCGTACTCGCCAGCGGCAGCGTTGAAGGCGCGCTCGCTGCTCGATTCGTCTGTAGGCAGCTGCCTCGAGGCTACGGCGGCCCTGCTGCGGGAGGAGGCGACGATCGAAGGCATTGAGCGGCTGCCGCCGCCGCCGCCGTCTTTCTGGCGATGGTAACCGGAACCACCACCCGAGACGCCGCCGCCGCCGTTGGTCCGCGAACCGTACCCGAGGGTGCTGCCCAGGATGCGGCGGAAGATGGGCCGCAGGGTGGGCAGGTTGCCGGCGACAATGCCCGTGTTGCACTCGACGACGGTCCAGATGGTGATGTCGCGCGAGTCCCACAGCCAGTCGCCCTCCTTGCCATAGTTGACGAGCGAGCCGATCTTGATGAAGGCTGCCGCGCAGGCGAAGCAGCCGAGCCCAAGCGAGAAGAGGAGGGAAAGGCGGGTGCGCCGGTTGACGTTGAGGTTCCAGAGCATGGGGCCCGGGATAAAGACGGCGAAGCAGAGGTCGGTCAGGATGTTGAGTGACACGTTGGTGTACGACAGGCCTTTGAGCGTCGACTCGGGCCAGCAGTTGGGGGTGATGGTGTTGTCCCAGAGCACGCGTATGTCGGTGCATTGGAACATGACGGTCTGTTTGTCAGAAACGAGCACGTTAGGCCCCCTTCTGTCAAGCCTACACCCTTCTTGAATCCAGGAGAGAGTTGTTACTCACAAAGAAGCAACCCGTAGTGTAGAACGCCATGAAGGCCATGATGGAGATGATAAGCCGCTTGTAGAAAGGCGTGTTCGCAATACGGAGTAGCATGGAACCAACGGCCAGCTTGACGACGCAGATGGCGATCAGATAGATGGGCTGACTGACGAAGTTCAGCTTGAGTCCCATTGGCAAGTCGGATAGTGGTATGTCGCCGATATGCCTGCCCGCGCCATGCGCGACCGAAGCCCACACAACCCCCTGGCCAGCCAGGACCAAAGCCATTGCGAAGCTCATGAAGTAGTCCTGAATATCACAGCGTTCAAGTTAGCATCTGGCTGTCGGCGGGTCTGGCTCAACCGATATGGTAATGATGGTCCTTACATCCAACCCAACATTGCGGACCGCGATGAGTCGAACGCCCATGCGGGCCCCGTAGGTAATCAGGGCCAGCGACGTTATGGCCAATGTAGCCCCCAGGATCCTGGGCCCGTCATTCTCGTCCGGGTTCGAGGGAAGTGGCAGGCCGCCGGGACTTGACATGATCCGGGTATCCGAGCAGTCGGCTCGTGCTGGCTCACTGTCAGGAGATTTTGTGGAGAAGAAGATGTCGCCAACATCGTGCCTCAGGTGGAAAAGCTGGAAACCATGTGCTGTATATCCACCCAGGTGGCGGAAGCCAAAAGACAAAGCCTGAGCGGCTGGGGGCCAACCCCCGCGACGCCCTTCCACGAACTGAAAAGAGGGCAACGTGAGGGCGCAGCCTCGGATGAAAACGTCGGCAGCATATGAGGCTTTGTTGCAGGGGGCGACTGCATAGGATACTACATATTCTTGGGGTTAGCGAGATGACTCCGCTTGCCGTTTGCTTTCCTGTTCAGGACAGTCAGGGTGTTCCCTAGGGCTTGTTTCCGATTGGCCTTCCTGCGACGGGGTAGTTTCACTCGTCAAGCGGCTCAATGCTTAGCACGAGGAATTATCCGACTCGGGTTACTTTGCCCCTGGGCGCGGTAGTGTTCGCCTGCAGCTTGCAACCAACCGCGTATGCACGGACATGGGAACTGCATCGGATGTAAGGCCAACTCTGGGCGAACAGGTTGAAAACAGGGGTTGGGAGCTGGCCTCCAGGGGCACTATTGTCCGCAATGGTTCTGGTTCTCCCACCTATGTTGCCCCTCGAATAAGCGACCCTTTGTTTGGCCAGACGCCCCCTCGTCTTGCACCAAACCAAGACACCGACAGCAACTGCCGAAGACAATGCCGGCGGGTTCTGCATTTTCTAATCTCCAGAGTCGGTAAGTAAGCCCGTGTCGCAGAGGGCATGGGTGCCGCGTGTGGGCCGAGGGTCCCAAGTTCTGCTCTTATCTGGGTCCTTCCCACGTTGTCCGCTGCCGCTCCTCCCATGTCGAGTTCAACATGCTGTACCGTCGTCCAATTCCCCGGCCAATTGACTCATCAAAATGCGCTCGGTGTCGCTGATCGTCCTGATTCTCCAGGCCGCCGTGCCGATCTTCGCGGCGCCCGCGCCGGCTGACACAGTCGCTTCGAATCCAGAGGACGCCCTGAAGCAGCTGCAGGCACTTGCTGATGCCGCTTCCGAGCAGGCAAAGCAGGATGTCAGCAGCAACACCGTGGCGGCCCGCGCCGCCAACGGCTGCACTTTGAGCAACCTCCAGGTCCGCAGGGAGTGGTAAGTGTTGCATGTTGTACCCCTTACAGGACGGACTGCCCGCTAACTCCTGCAGGGGCACTCTGAGCGCGTCCGAGAAGAAGAGCTACATCAATGCCGTCAAATGTCTGATGTCAAAGCCAGGCAAGACTCCAACCTCGATGGCGCCCGGCGTGAAGAACCGCTTCGATGACTTCGTCGCGGTGCACATCAACCAGACAATGGAGATCCACTACACGGGCAGCTTTCTCTCATGGCACAGGTACTTCACCTGGCTGTATGAGAAGGCTCTCCAGACAGAGTGCGGCTACAAGGGCACTCAGCCGGTACGATGGCCCCTGGGCCCGTGTTCCCACTTCCTTTCCTGTGTCGGATGATGCTGACTTGTTTCGTGACAGTACTGGAACTGGGGCTTCAGTGCTCTCACGGGCCTGGAGAGCTCTCCCATCTTCGACGGCAGCGACACTTCCATGTCAGGCAACGGTGCGGCCATACCCAACCAGCCCGACATCCTCATCGGGACTAACAACGGCCTTCCGCCGATCGTGTTGCCTCCTGGGACCGGTGGCGGCTGCGTTACCTCGGGCCCCTTCAAGAACATGTCGGTCAACATGGGGCCCGTCAGCCTCTCTCTGCCCGGGGGCGCCACCGGGTCCAACCCAGCCGGCCCGCTGGCTTACAACCCCCGGTGTCTGAAACGGGATCTGACCACCAAGATCAACCAAAGGTTCGCCAACGGCACGGCAATTCTGTCCAACATCCTGGTCCCCAAAGACGTCGACGCCTTCCAGATGCAGATGCAGGGGATCCCAGGGACCGGCAACATCGGGATCCACGGCGGCGGCCATTACTCCATGGGCGGCGACCCGGGCCGCGACTTTTTCGTGTCCCCCAGCGACCCAGCCTTCTACCTCCATCACTCCATGATCGATCGGGTTTGGTGGATTTGGCAGCTCCTGTCGACCAAGGAACGCACTCAAGGTCCCAAGGCCGTCGCCGGAACCAGGACGTTCCTCAACGACCCTCCCAGCCCCAACACCACCATCGACGACATCATTAACATGGACTTTCTCGGGGCCCCGTCCCTCCCAATTAAGGACCTGCTCAGCACCACCGCGGGGCCATTCTGCTACATCTACCTCTGATGTCGCTTTCGCGTTTTGTGCACGTGTGGTCGTGGACGATGACGAAGTTGCGGCATCGCACCATGCAGCTTGTGACTGGAGACACTGTCAATGAGAGTACTTGATAGAATACCCATAATGATAATTGTCTCAAGCCAATGCCATCATACCCAATGACATTGACTTCTTGCACAATTGATCCCCGAGTCCAGTTTCCGTCCATCAGAAATCGCCATCAGCCGGCACCGCAGCTTGATCAACCTGAATCTCCAACTGGGCGCTCCGCACAACAGGCGGCGCGCCGGCAAGCGTCAGCGTGGACGTAACCGTAAAGGGCATCCTGGCCGTCGGCCCATCAAACGTTTTCATGCTCTTCATCCTCACGGCGCCCTCGCTCAGATCCAGGGTGTCCGACCGCCACTACCCTGTACCAGCTCGAAAGGCTCGGGCAGGGGCGGCGTCACCGTCCATGTAATGCCCTTGCTGTTGACCATCGGGATACACGTCGCAGAGTTCCGATTATCCGTGTCGGTAGTGAGGAGTGTTCATGGGTTGTGCATGTACCCCAGGGCGTCGGACGCCATGGGCTGCATCTCCAGGAGCCAGACCCCCTTATCAATGCCCAACAACGTCAAGCTGAAACCTGTGACGTGACCGGGAAGGTCAACAACGAGGTTCAGCATATACTGGCCCTGCCCGATCGCAACCAGGGCTGACGATGGCCTTGGCAGCGCGTCCTTGTTGTCGGAGCCTGAAGGTGCTAGATCGGGCTCTGTGAGGGTTTCCACAGTTCATTGGCAACGCTTCAGCGCATCTTGGTAATCAGCATCGGCCATTGTGGGCTTCTTGGTCATTTCGACGCCAGACTTGTCCGCTTTGGATGCGAGACAGTAGTAGTAACGCTTGTGGCGGCATCCCCTGCGCCGTGGGTGACTGGGAGGTAGCATGCCGGTGTAAAAGTGGTCAACCCCGTCGCGTTGGTGTCGACACCCCAAATGCCGTTGGTCGAGTATATGAGCGACGATGCAATGTCCAGAGTCAGACAGGCCGTGGGAGGGATGGTATCGGACGCGAGGGGAGGCGTGACGTGCATATAGCCTGGGCTGATGTTGATGCCTATCTGTGCCATACGAGCTTTGATGCTGGGGCCGATGAGCTCGTTCAGGGTGTCTGTGCTTGGGTGCTGCGAAGTAGTCAATCGCGAGGTATTCCATGTAAACCCCCCGTGGCTTGACGTAGTCGTCAATGAATTTTTGCAAAGAGTGTCCGGATGGGTTGGTGGACTGTTAGAGTGCTGTTGCTGATTACGCTAGAATACATGTGACCATGGCTATAGCGGCGTACCTGTAAGAGACATCTTGACGTCGTAGTGGATGATGCCTATGAGAGCCAGGGCGACAGCAACAAGGCCAGCCCACGTGCCTAACAACTTAAAGGCCGCAAAACTCTAGATGGAGGTTAGAAATGGAGTCAGCAGTGCCGTTCACGGAACCATCGCCGGCGGGCTGTGCAGGAAGTAGGACCATGTAGGGACACACCCGGTCCAAAGATTGCTCCCGCTGACGCAGCGCCACGAGCCGACCGGCAACAATTCCCAGAATTAGGATCGCCTCCGAGGCGATCATGAAGGTGTCGCTGGCTATCATCAACGGATTCTTTTCGCGCGAGAGGTCAATGCTGACAAGGACGATTGTAGTGATCGACACGATGACGCTGGTTGGTAAATGTTAGAGCATCATCCACGGATGTACCATCACTCAGGGTGACCCTGATAAAGTTGGTGGGTAGCTCGGTCGTCAACGTACCCGAAGATAGTTCCCATCAGCTCGTCAATCTTCCGTCCCAACATCTTCTGGAGCCGACTCTCGGTGACGGCGGCGTTCTCGCCGTCTTCGGTAAGCAACTTCTCGGCTTCACGAGAACCGTGATGTTGCTGCCCCAGCTCTTGACGAAGTATCGCGCAATGGCGTTGGTTATCTGTATTTTGAGCAAACGAATTAGTCCTGTTGGACGCAAGGCCCAGAGATGTAATGCAAAGAGGGCTTGCCTCTAGACTGGATGAAGTGCCTTTAAACGAACCCTTTGCGAGGACCGCGCAATGGCCGTTTCCACCACTTTTCCCCTGTCAACAAGAAACCACAACTTATTTCCGAAGCCGGAGACGTCACTCCAGAAGTACTGGTAGCGAATAGCGCCTTTGATGACCTCGAGGATGACCTTGATTATGAGGCGACCGAGTGCATTTTATCCCAACTACAAGTCAGCGCGCATTTCAACGTAAGAAGACGTCTGTGGCGAGGGCGAAGCTGTGGGTAAGGGACGGGAAGGGAAACCAGGCAGAGAAGGAAGTGATAACATGCACATTCCCAATCGTGCCTTTTGCCTGTTTCGGCATTGCGCCAGAACCCCCCTCAACAAGTGGCAGAATAAGAATGGCAACCGAACCCGCGAAGCCAAAAGTCGCCACCATCTTTCCAGCCCTAGCGCCGAGCTTCGGACACCACGCCTTGGACTTGACGCTCTCCTCAGACATGGTCGTGACGTGATTCCACGTCCCCACGAAGCAGGCGAAGCGTTGAGACTCGGCGAAGGACAAAATGCTGGGCAGGGCTTCAAGTTGTCCTTCAATGCGACGAGACTCGGCTCGCCGCCGTACTCACCATGGTGGCCCAACCAACGTTCGCAATGTTTTGGGGTAACTCGCTGAGAACTCCTACGTTGACACCTCATCTCAAGATCGCGACGCTTAAGGCCCTGCTTGGAAAGGAGCCCGCCCAACAGCAGCAACGTGCGGATGTCTTGGAACGGTGTGTCGGCCGCCTAGGCCGCTTGCTAAACAACCATATCCACCTAGGCTGGCGGGCGGTCGCAGCTCGAAGCAAGAAGGAGGGCGCCGATCTCGCGCTGTTTCTGATTTTCCACACCCTGACGGACCTTCACTTCTCACCATCGCTGGCATACGGGGCTGGCCATCCCACCCACCAGCGCCTGCGCCTAACAGTAAGCGGCGATGACCTGGTTGTGGCGGACGCCAGCGTGTCGGTGCACCAAGAGGGTTGGATGACGTTCGAAATCCACCGCGCCGTGTTGCTTGATGATCTCAAAGCTCGAGCAGAGATCGCGGCAGCAAATGCCGACGTCGCTTCCCTGAATGTGACAGTAGTCATCAGCGATGAAGATGGGATTACGGGTCCCAGTTCAAAGCGCGGCAAGCTCGCCGGAGGGGGTCCTCTCATCGAACATGTAACTTCAACATTGGCCTCAGAGGTCTGACAACAGAGGCGGCGCTGAAACTGCAGCTTTGCTTGTTGCATCCCGAAGAAGTGAAGCGTTGGCAAGGGGATGACTGCGGGGTCGGCCTGGGCAGTGGGACGAAAACGCTCGAATGAGCTTTGCGAAACCCTATCAACATCTTGACCTGAACCCGGTTTGAAGACTCGAGGCTCGTTGCATATAGAGATGACCATCAACTATGAACATCTAGTTGTTCCTCGACATATAGGTGCAGGTTTTTTAAAGCTAAGTCTGTTTTTTTGGGCTAGGACTCTTTCCAATGTGTTGGAAACTCGTGGTCACTGGAAACTCGGAAGCTCGGCTGCCGTGCCCTCCTGGTTGTAACGGGCTGGGCCCGGTGCGAGCCTCGGCGACTCTCGGCAGATACCAAGACCCCTGATGAGGCTATTCCCACTCGCCCCACAGCACACCGAACCTTCTAGCAACGCGCTCAGACCAGCGCGCCGACGAGGATGAGTATGCTTGCGAGCTACCAGAGTCTGTCGTCTCTCCTTTTCTTCTCCAAGTTCAGTGTACTCGTAGAGTCGTCATCAGCTAGTTGCAATATACTGCCTGAGACCGTTACACTGGTAGATCGACGGCGGGCAGGGTATATAGGGTGCGGATTTGAAGGTCTTGGCAATTGCAAGTTAGCCCAGTGTATAGTTCAAGGACAAGAGGTCTCACGTTTAATTTCAGTGGTAGTCAGGTTTTTTGAATGTGGGAATCAAAGTAAAAATATACTCGATGAAAAAAGCCAGTTAAGTTAATATAAGTAAAAAAAAAAAAAAAAAAAATATAACGTTATCTGAGTTTGAGAGGCGTATTTGTACTGTAGTGAGCTGACTGTCAACGGCTTACACTTAATGAGCCAGTATTTCCTAGCTCATGGACCTCAGCTCACAACGGTAAATATCCTAGACACGGGTCGGCCTGGGCCTCGTACGACGAGCACCTTCTCCCTTCCTTCCGCGGTTGGAGGTTCTTGAGCCTTTTGAGGGCATCAATACAATATCCTTATTCTGGGCGAGACCGGCGTCCGACAATTGGCTTGGATCAATGCATTCGTCAACTATCTCGCATGCGACTCATTGCAATATCGTCTTTGTTCAAGAGGCCGCGATCCAGTTTGGTTTCTTTTAGAAGCGACACGCGATCGGGCCATACCATGATGCGACCTTTGCGAACGTCGACCACCTCACCACCCATGAGAGGTTGAAGACAAAGAGCGGCGGAAAGAGGGCAACGTTTGAGATCCTCGAGAGGTATAACGCAGAGCACGTGCAGAAGCTGGGGGGGCCGAGACCAAGCCAGCGGAAAGCCAGGCATGAGAGGTTTCAAGTTGGTTTCCTAGCGCGAGAGAAAGGGTTCAGAGATCAGTTCTCATGTTGAATCGGAGCTTAATCGGCTACACCTTTGAGGGACAGAGGAGTTGGTTGTTGTGGCCTGTTCGTAAGCCGGCTGGTAACCCCCCTCTCCTGTCGACGTTCCCCCTTGGGCAACTTTGGGCTGGAGCATGAGGAATTTGGGGCGGCAGTCGTCGCAGGGAATGTACCGAACCTCTTTCGCGCTCTGGTGTCGAGGATGGCTGCAAATTGATGTTTTCATTTTCCATTTTTTTTCTTTGTTTTTTATTTTTCCTTTTGCATTTGATGCATGTCTGCAGTTGTGCGTGGTGCGTATAGGTGGTTGTCCGTTTCACGTCGACAAGTGCTCAATGTCATCCTGGTTTATATTCCTGACTGCTCTCCCTCTGACCAGTTCTAACACATAGATTACACGGCCGAAAGCGGGAAGTCGACAGTCGGGCTTTGGCGTTTTCCCTCGTCTGATATGTCAGGTCAGGTCCAGACTCCTTTATCACTGCATGAGACATAAGATGCAGGCTCGATCAGACAGCAGTGAGGAGGTTAACCAGGAACCACTTCTACCCCGCAAACATTGGTCATGCAGGGCAATGCCGAGGAAGTGGGATTACGGTGGAACCCGGTAAAACCCGCCCTTGCCAACAGGGAACAATGTCCCGAACGCCGCAACACCGAGATTGATGACATATCTCCAGCAACTCTTTGCGGTGTTATCCAGAGACGTTTTACGCTTGACGATTCTCTCCAGGTTCGAACAATAGTGTGCAACGTACTGTCTGAACTCGACTTCTGCTCTACGGGCTACGAAACCGTGGACGCTTGGCCGTTTCCGCTCTCGTGACCGCACCTTGGTCCTAACCCACCATCATACGATGAATTCTGCGCAATAGCGTCGGTATAGGCCTTTTCGTCTGATATAACCGACTCCCCAGACCAGCCATGCCCGCGGTCTCGCGCAACTTTTCACCGAGGGCCGCCCTTCTCAGAACGCCAAATCGACCGCTCGGGACCGGCGCGACCTGCGTACGACAGCGCGCAATATGCACAGCATGCTCATATACGGCGAATATCGGACCAATATCCCGCGCGACGTTGCATCGCGGCGCCCGCCTACGCACGGAATCGCCGGAAAATGCTGGCCCAGTCCCATTCTCGCCTGGGCAAAGGAGGACGGCGTCGGTGGCTGCGGCAGAAACGGTTGAGAATAGTGCGTGCAGTGCTGCCACACTCCGGCGCGATGACAGAACTAACCAACACAGCAGCCAACCCGGGGGACATTGGCCCAATACAAGAGTATGACCGGCGAGTTGCCAGCGGCGTGCTTCGAAACGATGAACACCAGAGAGGTGAGGGGCAACCGGCTGCACGATCAAAGAGACAAAACGCTGACTCTGGGCCAAGGAATTGTACAGAGTTTACAGCACTTACATGAGGAGCTCCGGCACTACCACGCACCGCCCGTCGTCCAACCGACACTCGAGTCTCTGAAACCGAACAAGTCCCTGTTCTCATGGTTGAGCGGCGGCAAGAAATCCCCCATCCGATCGATCCCCGGTAACCTCCCGCGAGGGCTCTATCTATACGGCGACGTGGGCTGCGGGAAGACCATGCTCATGGATCTCTTCTACGACACGCTCCCGCAGAACGTCCGGTCCAAAACCCGCATCCACTTCCACAATTTCATGCAGGGCGTGCACCAACGCCTGCACAAGATGAAGCTCCAACACGGCAGCGACGTCGACTGCGTGCCGTTCGTAACCGCCGAAATCGCGTCCGGGGGTAGCGTCCTCTGCTTCGACGAGTTCCAGTGCACCGACGTGGCCGACGCCATGATCCTCCGGCGGCTCCTCGAGTCGCTCATGTCGCACGGCGTCGTGCTCGTCACCACCTCCAACCGGCACCCCGACGAGCTCTACAAGAACGGCATCCAGCGCGAGTCCTTCGTTCCCGCGATCCAGCTTCTCAAAAACCGACTGCACGTCATCAACCTCGACTCGACGACCGACTACCGCAAGATTCCACGTCCGCCCTCGGGCGTCTACCACACACCGCTCGACGCGCACGCCGCCTCGCACGCCGAGAAGTGGTTCCGCTTCCTCGGCGATCCGGAGACGCCCGAGCCGCACCGCGAGGTGCAGCGCGTCTGGGGCCGCGACATTGTGGTCCCGCGCGTCAGCGGCCGCTGCGCGTGGTTCACCTTTGCCGAGCTCATCGGCCGCCCGACCAGCGCGGCCGACTACCTCGAGCTGATGCGGTCCTACGACGCCTTCATCGTGACCGAGGTGCCCGGTATGACCTTTCGGCAGCGGGACCTGGCGCGGCGGTTCATCACATTTGTCGACGCCGTGTACGAGTCCCGCGCCAAGCTGGTGCTGACAACGGCCGTGCCGCTGCAGGAGCTGTTTGTGTCGCGGGCCGAGCTCAAGGAAGTGTTGTTGGCTAAGAAGAGGGATGGTGCGGGAACAGATATGGATGACGGAGCGGTCGAGGAAATCATGGGCCATATGATGGATGATTTGGAGCATAATGCCGAGGCGCTGTCCAAGTCGAATTTGTTTACGGGCGACGAAGAGGCGTTTGCCTTTGCGCGTGCGCTATCGAGGCTGAGCCAGATGGGGAGCAAGGAGTGGGTGGAGCGGGGTATGGGGCTTGAGAGCCAGGGCGGAAAACAAGAGAGGGATAGTTGGGCGAGGACGAGGAGCAAGCAGGCGGAAGACAGCATGTGAGGAAGCAGTCGAGAGAAGTAATGATACCCTGCCGCGCGTGGGTTGGTGTTACGGAATAGAGGTCGCATTTTGCAAGGCGCATCGCATATAAGGTTCGGGGGTATTTTGCAGCGTTAAGTAGGTATCGAATACGGGTTTCCACAATGAAAAGGCCTTTCATGACTGCGCGCGCAAGGGGTATCTTGGCTGCAAACACTTTGAACGCTTGTCCTTCATGCACACATCTATCCATGCCAACGTTTGAAACGACTCATGCCGCAAACCCACATCACCCAGAAAGTTCCTACAGCGAATCCGAGTGGTCGGGCCGCTCGAGAGCAGCAAAGTCGGTAAAGGCCAACTCGTAGCCAAACGCCAGCGTCATGCGCGCGTGCTGGAGCATGTGGTCGAAGGACAAGTACTTGATCAGGTCCTCAGTCGTGTGGATGTGGTTGTCCGAGTACTCGAACGCCGACTCAATGACAAAGGCTGACGCGTATCCTGCCTTGGACGCCGAGGCGTGGTCGGAGCAGGCGTACCCGCACTTGGTCTCGATATAGGGGATCTCACAATACTGGCAAGAGACGTTCCAAAATTAGTCGAGAATCAAGAGCGGTTAGGGGAAGAGGATTGGCAGGAACACACCTCCTCAATAACCTTTTTGATGAACTCCGTCAGGTTCGGGTCCACATAGTCCACAATGACGCCGACACTCTCGGGCTTGCCCGCGTCCAGCGTGCGCGTCACAAAGCCCGTCATGTCCTGCTGCAGCATGGCCTTAACGTCGCGGCCATGCTTTTCATAGGCCGAGAAGATGGCCTGGCTGCCCAGCAGGCCGCCTTCTTCGGCGCTGTACCAGTGGAACTCGAGCGTGTTTTGGTGCTTGCCCTTGACGATGTCCTCGGACTGCAGAAGGACACGGAAGGCCTCGAGGATGGTGACGGTGCCACTGCCGTCGTCGTCGGCGCCTGGGGCGGCGAGCACGGGCGGCAGCCACAGGTTGATGGAGTCTTGGTGCGCGCCGATGACGATGGTCGAGTTGGTCTTGCCTGGGATGGTGGCAATGATGCTGTGCTGTCCCCAGGAGTGCTTGAAATGCTCCGCGTGGACGTGCTCCTCGGCCCCGGCCTGCTTGATGGTGTCGCGGACCTGTGCGAGGAGCCACTCGCTGGATTGCCGGCCGTAGTCGGACTGACGGACAATCCGTTAGCGAGGGATTGTGTGGAGGAACAGAGGCTGCTCGTTGCCTACCTTGTAGTAGCGAGTGTGGAACGAGGTAAACGTTGTCAGGTGGTCCTTCATCTCGGTCTTGGAGAGGTTCGCCAGCAGTGGCTCGACCTGCTTCTGTAGCTTGGGCTTCTCGGGGAAGACGCTCTTCTTCTTGGATAAGTCTCTTGCGCGAAGCGTGCCGAGCTCGGGATGGTCGGTAATGTCGAAGAAGCGCATGCCATTCTGGGGTGGATTTAATCAGTCCTTTGAACAACCGTGGAGGATAGACGAGGTAGCAGACTTACTCGGCGCAGCTCCCACTTCTCCTCCTCAGTCACCCACTGTGTTTTTCCCGGCGACAGTTCGATGTGATACTTCTGGTTGTCTTCGGGAGGTTGGGAAATGCCATCGGGATACAGAATCACCCGGTCTGACTCGTTCGGCTCGACGAAGCGTGCGCTTACCGCCGGCAAGAGGAGGGCAAGCAGAGATGCGTTGGAAACCTTCATAATGGGCTTCTCATGTGCAGTTGCGGTATAGAGGGTAAAGATCAACTTTGAAATGCTAACGAAGGAGGGCTGTACGCTGTGTCAGAGCCCGGCTGTGATTGTTCGAGACCGCGGCTGGGTGGGAGGATCGGATGACGAGCGGCAGGGGGAGGCTTCCCTTCCTGTCACGATTGGCTACCCTGCTACGGAAGGCGGCAGTGCAGTTGTGAATATAAAACCACGTTTCATCGAGGACTCGAAGCAACGTTTTGATCGGTACGCCCCTCGTAGAAGTATTCTTTAGAATAGTCTAATTATATCTAGTTATTATACTTATACTTGGAAAGTAGACCTATATAGCCTTAAAGTTCTACTATATTATTAATACTATTATTATTATTATTCCTATACCGCTATGCCCTAGGGCTCGCTGGACCCTCTACCACTGATTATAAAGGAAAACTATGCCTGTAAGGCTAAATTAAAAACCTCTGTCTCCTCTATACCAGTTTGGAGTTATAAATCCACCTACTATAGTAAAAAGAAAGGCGTAGATAACTACCTAAGCTATCAAACTAGCCTAGTTCTAGCTGAGTAGCTAGTCTATATTCTACGAGCCTCCTAGAGCATAGTAGCTACCTGATCACCTTTCTCGCAAGCCTTCTCTCTTTGTTTCCCCATCCGTCAAGAGCTTTATATAGGTCTCTCTGCGAGCATATATTTTGTAGCCGGCCAGGATCTTGGCTTCAGTGGTTGGGAGCACCATATAGCTAAGTGTTCTACTATTTCCCTACTACAGCCGCATTCGTAGTAGATAGTAGGTATTCGAGGGACCTTGGCCCGGAAGAGGAAATCCTTGACGCTTATAGCCCTAATTGTAGCCTGAGTCAGTACGGAGCTCTCGGCCTTCATAAGGCCCTTATGTCTTTCTAGTGCTCTTTTGTCGAGTTTTGGCTAGTGGTCGGCTGGGTATATGGTGAGTAGGGCCTAGTTCCAGCCCTATACCATTAGAGTCGATTGGTGGCCTCCTTGGGCCACCTAGCCTTCTAGGCCTTATTTAGAGCCTCTGTAGAGTTCTTATCTCAAGCTCTTTAGGTTGCAATAGCCTCTATAGCTTCTCCTATTGCTAGAGGTTACGTTAGCCCTCTAGCCCTTCGTATTCTATTCAAGCGATTACGGACCTTATTGCAGGCTTCCTTGACTAGCAATGTAACGGGCTGGGCCCGGTGCGAGCCTCGGCGACTCTCGGCCAATACCAAGACCTCGGCGACTCTCGGCCAATACCAAGACCCCTGATGAGGCTATTCCCACTCGCCCCACAGCACACCGAACCTTCTAGCAACGCGCTCAGACCAGCGCGCCGACGAGGATAAGTATGCTTGCGAGCTACCAGAGTCTGTCGTCTCTCCTTTTCTTCTCCAAGTTCAGTGTACTCGTAGAGTCGTCATCAGCTAGTTGCAATATACTACCTGAGACCGTTACAAGCAAGCTAGGAGGTCGGTATCTTGGAAGAGGCTTTGTTGTAGGCCCAGTTGCAAGACTTAGTGTCAGCTGGAAGGGCTGAGGGATCGGGAGGGTAGGCTTCTAGAGCCTGTCTTCGAAGTCGGGTAGCGTCTTATTGAGATACTGGTCTAGTAGAGAAACCCACGTTCCAGCCTCAAGTTGTCAGATTGGGGTGGCCTTATAGGCCCCGGCCACTATCCATAGGCTCCTGTTCTGAGCCTTCTAGAGGTCTTTTGCATTGCCTTATAGCTGACCTCTAATGGGAGTAGGCCGGTAGAAGCATGAAGTTCTATATGCTAGGGCACTGCGAATGCACTTGGTATAATCCTCTCTAGTCTTGGCCAGGGCTAGCTCTCAGGTCTTAGCAGCTATTCTAGATAGTGCGAAGTCTTATAGTTTCAGCTTTCGTTCGATGGCTTCCCGGTAGGCCTTCCAATCTAGCCTCTAATCTAGCTAGACTCTAAGGAACTAGCTAGAAGGTGTAGGCTGTATAGCGTTGAAGCCTTGGCCCTGTAGGTGGTCCAAGTTGACTGGGTTTAGCTATTGCCTTCGCCCTTAGTTGAAGTAGATCAGCTCGCTCTTTTCCCCAGTAAAGACCATCCCTCTTGACTCAGCCTACTGTAGACAAGTCTTCCAGGCCTTTTCTAATTATTAGCGGTTGGCCTGAGGCTCTCAATCAAAGACTAAAAGATTAGTATCATCTGTAAAGCTCACTATATGTCACGGCGATTACGCCGTGCTGTTGGAAGACCAACAGCCACGATTCCACGGTGATCACACAGATGATGGGAGCTTACAACAGT